TTTGAAATCGTTGTCAATTATTATTTCAGAATCATCACATGGTCATCAAAGTGTTTTGAATCATTTATTCTATCATTTTATTCATAATTCAGGAGTTTCGGACCATAAGGTTAGCCTTAAAGTTCGCATTGCTTTTCTTTTTATGCAATTTGTAATTTTGCATTAATTATCAAGGCCATCAATAGTTTCAATCGAGATATGGTCATATAGCGGACATGATTGCAAGTAGATTCCTGAGAAATACTTCATTTTGAATTGTTATCATGTTTATGTTTAATGGAACCAGTGATAAGGTTAGCGACGAGTAGAGCCCTTGGGTGATAAACCAATATGAGTTGATGCCTCTTTAGCTTATTTAAAATGCAATTCTGTTTTCTTTTACTGTAACATTTTTTGTTATATCCCCACTATTATACTTATTTTACATTTCTTTTAAAAAATGGAAGTTGAATTCTGGAATTGCTTTAGGGAGGTATTATTTTATTGATGCTTTCGGTCTTGATAAGAATGGCTTATGATTCGTCGTTTCGCCATTTAGCAGTTGAAATTGGTGGATCGAAAAGACTCTATTCGTTGGTGACACTTTTCTCTGCGATATTTTTAGCACCAGGAGCGATTCTTGCTTTTGCTGCGGGCAAGGTCAGTTTTTTTATATCATAGTTTAAATATGTTCCTTAAATCTGCAATTTAGATATTCCAGGCGATAGCAAAAAGTTTTGATTTACTGATCTTTATTCTTTTTTCATATTACCTTTTCTGATAAATGACAGTTCGCTCCTTCATTTGGCTCGAACTGTCAGTAATATTGAACATAGGTTGAAATTATGATTTTAAATAAATTGCAGGCATATATTACTTCTTTTGTCGATTTTATTCTTTTGTTGTTTATGGGGTCAGCATTTGTAATGGTTTTCGATTTCTATACAGAGTCGTTTTGTTTTCAGGTGTTTTAATTTTTTCTTGCGTTTTCAAAAATTAAGATGGTAATTAATCTTTAGAACGAGCAATTTGTTAATATAAATACTGTTATGTACTCGTTATGTACTCCTTAATGAGTTATTGTTATGTACTCCTTAATGAGCTAGCTATTTGGAAGAGCTAACTTTATTTTTTTCTGAAAGATAGGTGAATAATTAAGTTGAGATTTTTCAAAATCTATATATTTTTAAAATGAAATTATTTCAGCATGTAGCTGATCCGGTATTATCATCAGCACGATGGAGTCCAATGTTAATGTTTATTTGTGCCTTTTTGTTCGCTTCCGCTTGGTATACGGATGAAAGTTACCATGCACCTGATGCTCACGTTATTTCAGGTGGAGTATTGTTGACGCTGTTTTGTTTCATTATCGGTATGTTGTTGAACTATGTTATTAGTATTCCGTAAAATCTAATGTAAAAGTTCTTTTTGAATGCTTTAACGAAGTTGCAATGGCTTGTTGGTATAAATTGAGCAATTAAAATTATCGACAGTTTAATTAATGATCAGATTAAATAAAACACTCTAGGTTGGAACTATGTTACATGGACTGTGTTCCTACTGGTAGACACCAGCAAACTTAGATCATATGACTTAAGTAATAATCTACATTTTTTTTATTTTTAAGTCATAGTAAATCTTTTTCAATGAATTATTTTTTGCTTAAATTTAACGCAACTGTATAGTAAGTGTTTCATAAAATTGTTCGTAGAATCATTTTAGCTTGTTTCTCCTTAACATCCTCGACCAGTCCACGTTCCAGAGGTGGGTATTATGTTGGTTTATCGGATAGTGGAATACCACTATATACTTATGGCGAAGCATTTTTGCAAAAAACTTCAAGGTTTGTAATATGCTGCTCTTATTGTCTGCCAAAATGCTAGTAGAATAACCTAGTTTCAACATTATATTCTTGATGTAGTTCTAAATGCTTTCGTATCTATAAGCCTTTAATCTTCCCTTCTGTTTTATCATATTCCTTGATATATATGTTTAAGTCACACAATGTGATATATCGTATCCAAACTAGTGTTTAAGGAGTAACACGATCATTTTATCATTTATATTCAATAATTCTCTTGTAATTCCAATAAACTTGTTTGTCACATATTTTCGTGCACACTATTTAACAACTGTTTTTTTCAGATCAGTAATACTGTCGATCAAGGAAACTTTAGCAGAAATATTGACGAATACTGATTCGCGTAGAATTTTTTGGTTTCTCTGCGCTAACTTGGTATTTTTTTTTACTGTTTCAATTTTTTTTTCTTTGTATTTTAATGTCAATAAGTTTCGCGGTGCTAGACACTGTTAAGTAGCTTCTACATTGAATCTGAAATTTTATAGTCATTTTGTGGAATTGAATTTTTATACGGATTCTGGACGAATAGTCTTGGACTGATATCCGATGGTTTCCATATGCTTTTCGATTGCTCTGCACTTGTAAGTTTTTATTTCTACATGCATTTTCAATCCGAGGCAAAAACTTTTCTTAATTTGTTACCTGATCATCAAATATCTCATTGCATATTTCAGGTAATGGGTCTTGTTGCTTCTGTGATGTCACGATGGTCTTCTTCAAAATATTATTCTTACGGATATGGGAGAGTGGAAGTATTATCAGGTAAGTAACTGTCCAACTATTTATTATCAAGTACCGAAAATCAATCATTGATTTTTATTGGTCGTGTGAATCACTCATTTTTAAGTTAATAGAGTGCTAAAACCATTTTGAAATTGAAATATTGTTTAAGTTTACAGTACGCTCTTAATATCACGTTTTATTTTCCAGGATTTATAAATGCTTTATTTCTCATTGTTATTGCTTTTTTTATATTTCTGGAGGCGCTAGAACGGTTATATGATCCACCAGATATCAGCACTGATAAACTAATGGTACACTTCTAGTTCTAGTTTCATTTGACGTTTTAGCATAAATTGATAATGATATGATTTTTGCTGTCCTTAAATTGATGTTTTGAACCGGTATTTCTGACGACAAAATGGAATCGTTTAGTTGTGTAAGGTCAATCCCAAATATGATTGATTTTTGGGAGAATTCGTACAAATTGGAAATTTTCTAGCTGTCATATTGATTGAGTCAGATGTACGAAGTATTGAATTGTTTTGTTGTTTGTGCTGTCAGAGAGAGGAATATTTGATGAAGTTCTTCAAAGGTTATTTCTGTTTTCGGTTGGACTAGTGTAATAGTTCAGTGCGTAATAATTCGTAATAATTCAGTGCGGCTTAATATTGATATGGTTATCCGCTGGATATAACTACATATTGGAGAGGCTAACACGATGCCAATCACTCTTGGTTTAATTTATTCGCTTGATAAGTTATCATGACTCTTAATTTATGTATGTTTTAGATAGTGGCAGTTGCTGGTCTAATAATAAATATGTTTGGTATGTTCGCATTTCATGGTGCAACACATGCGCATTCTCATGGAGATGATGGCAGTCATTCGCATAATGATGTTTCGCGTTCACATTCACATTCACATTCTCATTCTCATTCACATTCTTACTCCCATTCACACGGAGAAGCAAATACTAATATGCAAGGTTCACCTATTTAACATTCAGATTATAACATCCAAAAATGTTGCTGAAAAATAAGACATTTGATCATTTGAGGTGTAATGTAATTTTGGCAGGTAGACGAAAACGGATTTGTACAGTCGAACTGACATTGATATATTCCTAATAATTTATTATATTTAACTTTGTAAAGTATTTACCTATACATAGTTAGTTAACAGGGTGACTATATCTTTACACGATTAAATAGTCGGCACTTAGTATTTCGTCTTTTTTTAATGAAGATTAACATAGCAGAGGAAATGTTACTTTTGTATAATTTGTAAAATTTAAGAAATAAATTATTGCAGGACAATCTTTTTTTTGTCATTGCTAATTAAATACAGAATCAAACGATTGTTTCTTTGCAGGTGTTTTTCTACACGTCCTTGCTGACACACTTGGTTCTGTATTTGTGATAATCAGTACCCTTATGATTCAATATTTTGGTTGGAAATGGGTCGATCCATTATGCTCGTTAATTTTATCGATGCTTATCCTTTGTTCAGTAATACCGTTACTGAAGCAGTCAATGGCTACGTTGATGCAAAATATTCCACTTCAAATAGAAGAAGAGTTTGAACATATTCTACATGAGGTTTTTTTCCCTTTCTTTTTTCTCGGTTTTAACAAATTTCGAAATTTGAGAATTAGAAAAAATGATTTAGATTCGAGTGTTATTTTAAGGAAATTAAGTTTTTAGAAATATAATATTTCGTTATTCATTAAGAAAAAAGTTAATAAATTTTAGCAACATGCACAGTTTATTAGTGTGCATAATTAATTTGTTTTCATAATTAAATATATGCGGCAGTAATATGCTTGTTCATGAGAAAAAAATTTGTCCTATAAATGTTTTGGGATAAACCAACTTATTATGTATATGCCAGATATTAGCAATCCATTTCTATTTTTTGTTTATAGATTTTAAACATCGAGGGTGTCATATCCTACTCAAATGTACATTTATGGCAACTCAAATCTGTTTTCAATATAGCATCGTTGCATGTTCAAGTGAACGATAGTGCAAACGATCAAATTATACGACTAAAAGTATTGAAAAATCTAAAATCGATTAATATCACGCAAGCATCTGTTCAGGTGGATAATTGTTTTATTTATTTAGTGCTCTGTTATATTTTTCATACGATATTTTTTAAACTGTGTAATATTTCGAAAGAAGTCTGCTGATTTTAATTCTTAGATTTATTTAGAATATTTAGAATCGCCTTATTTTTTTTAAAACTTAATCAGATTTAATCTTCAAACAAATCAAAAAGTGTGACTTCATTTTTGATATTGTATATTTTGCTACCTTGAGTATATTTGTAGTCTAGTTATATACTTTAAATTCATTTCATCTTCTCTTTTATTTTTCGGATTGTTAAGTTCTTTTAGGTTGAAAAAGAAAATTTTTTCCAACGTATATCTGTTCTTTGTCCGTCGTATAAAATTCCGCAACGTATAACAAAAGGTATTTCAATTGGTCACACTTCTTCTTCCGGCGATTGCTGTCATCACAATGAAGAATATAATCACATAGTGCAACACAAGTTATGGTTAATTCCAGGAAATTATTCTTAACAAAATATTATGTAAAATCGAAATTTTTAAAATTTTTATATAGCTGCTTAGTTAGAGAAAATTTTATAAAAATTGTTTCGACAAGAACCAGCTGATGTAAATCTGCTTGATCTGTAAGTGTATCATAGATTTGATCGCGGCAGTAGATTCGGTTGTATAAAAATTTCGTTCGAAAATCCCAAAAAATCAACAAAAGCAATTTTAAAAAATTTAATTGATAAGTTGCAGCCACAATTTTCGGAATTTGTATTTTAAATTAAAAATCTTTTGAGATAACTTCCAGAATCATAGTTATGGTGCAGCTCAAATTTTAGGATGGGACAACAGTGAAGAGCTATTCACATCATTGAAATTACAGCTCTGCGAAGCATAATTTCGATAATTATTATCAATGTTCCATTCGGAGAAACATGGATTCGTTAAGGGCTTGTTTGAGGGATTTATTGCTGAAGGGTAGTAAGTATTCTGGTATTCTTTTTTAATTTGCAATATGAACTAAAATACAAAGGGTAAAATTCATGACTCCTTAGTTATTTTATTTTTATAATGTCATTTTTCATAATCGCATTGTAGTGATCATTTGTTTTATATTTTCTTTTTATAGGTTTTCCATTTCCATCTATTTTTATCTAATTTCAATGAAAATGTGGAACTTGGAGATGAAAGTTTTCTAATCAAAATAGGAGTAAACCAATCATTTCCTATAGCAGCTACAGTATTCAATCGACATTTTTCTGGTAGCAAGCAAAAACTTTGGATAGATTAATTTTTTTCAAATAAAAAAGAATTTTGAAATATATGTATGAAAGTGCAGGTGATTTGCCGTTAGTGATAAGATGCTAACTACATGTTTCATTGCAAATTTCAGTGTTCTATCAGCAATGCCAATTTTTATACCTAACGGCAACAGGTTGAGAGCGTTGAGACTTATGTCAATATAGATTCGAAATATGCATTTTTGATTTCTTATATTTGTTGTTATTTCTACAAATTTTATGTTTTTTTTATGAAAGTATGAAATTCTGTGAGGTTTAGCAAATTATCTCGGTGAATATTTATTATATTTGACTCGACTTTGCTTACGATGGAATAAGTACCTTACAATCAATGTTCTACACTTGACCGTTCTTTTTTTGTTTTTTTCTGACATGTGTTGGTGACGAGGCTAACCAATAATAAGTTACCATAATAAACTTCCTCGTGAAACATTCCACATATAATTGACTTCTGCAAGCAATTATTTGCGATTTAATGAAAAATAAGTCATAATGGCAAAAATATTTTATTTGAAATAAGTTTGCAGCAAAAAAAAAACAGGATGAATATTATTTTGGTCATTTAAAGTGATTTTTAGAGGAATTCAACTTTTAATTTGAAAATTTCAACATTTTTTTTCTTAAGGAATGAGATCATTGCAATAAATTTTATAACATCTTTTCAGCTTTTATTGAGATAAGTGTAATGGATAGAATAAAGAATGCAAGTGCTTAGGAATGCAATTGGTAGTATAATTCGGAAAATATAATCTACAATTTTTATCAAAGTTGTCGGTTGACGTTCCGGTAAATGAGCATAATAAGGCATTTCGTTGAACCACTGTGTTTTCTCGTTACATTCGTCACCAAAATTCTATAAAATTTAAACAAATATTTAAAGCTCTTTAAATATATGCAATTATTTATATTGTTACTGTTATCGTTGTTATTACCATTTTCATTGTTCGCAAATAAATAGCTTAACTTAAAATATTATGTGTTTGGAATTTCGTTTTAAATCAGAAATAAATAAACATTTGTACAATTAAAATACAAAAAAATAATTCACATATATTCGTTTCGATGTTTTTTGCTTTTCCACTACTGCTTTAGTAATTAAAACGGATTGTAAAACGATGGAAAAAACAAATGTAACAATTTGCAAATTCCAAATGTCAATCGCTTTCAAATATGATGTTCGTGTAACACCCCAATTATTACTGATAACCTGAAAGATACTTTATAAAATTGATAATGCTTCAAGCAATTATCAAGCAAAATGAGGGCGTTGTTTATTTCAAATTTCAATCCACGTAAATTATATTATTTCTGGCAAAGTTTAATAAAAACTTAACTATTTAAAAATCTTTGCTATTTCATACTTGATATTTATTATTTTTCCTTACATTTCAGTGTCTTCAGTATGAAAAAAATGGCATGAAGAGTCAGAAATGGCGATAATATTAGATATTTTTGCTACTTTTTTTC